CCGTTCATGTAGATGACAACAGCGCTCCTGCAGGAGTTTGAAATTGTCGTGCGCACGACTGATGGCTGCAGCCAGCATTGTTTCTATGCTTGCATGAGTAGATGAGCAAAGTAGCATGGGCAGATAGAAGATAACTGTTTGTGCTGCTCACCCTGTTCAACGTGCAGAAGTGACCCAAACCCCTCTTCAATCGAGCAAGCCTGCTCCTTTTCTGTTCATGTTTGCCAATCACAACACATACCTCATACAACCCCCCACCCCACAACGTTGGCCAGGAAAGCACACACCCACTCCGCACATACAATAGTCTGGATCAAAATGCAATCAATCTAAAGCAACCGTACTATAATTCATCATTTCCTATCTGACAACCCCGCCTGGCACGGCACGGCCTGACCACCTGACACATAGTTATGGCTCGCCTTCTTGCCTCATTGGATAAGAGGAAAACAAACGTATAGTGGCCTTTGTTGATTATTGATTGAGCAACAGCATACCAGTGATACCCTTAGATGTCTGGGGCTGCACCCACATTCCACTAATTATTTATTAATCCACATTTGTGTCCAGTTTTCTCCAACTCCTGCAACAGGTTTGTGAAGATGCACGGCCACAGACCCAGGGCAGGTGTTTTCACGTGAATGCTGCAGGACGAGGCAGGTAGGATGAGAGCAAAGGTGGCAATACAGTCCTGTGCATGTTGCCCTCATCTCCTTCTACAGGTGTGCAGTGGAGAGCATCCTGTGCTCCAGCATCAACGTGTGGCATGGAGGCTGCACAGCTGCAGAAAGAAAAGCTTTGCAGAGAGTGGTGAAGGCTGCACAGAAGTCTGTTGGAGTCAGCCTCCCCACCATCACAGACATCTACACCTCTAGATGCAGGAAGAGAGCCACTTGCATCATGAAGGACCCCACTCACCCAGCACACACACTTTTTGCCCCGCTCCCCTCAGGAAGGAGGTTAAGGAGCATAAAATGTAGAACCACTAGACTGAGGAACAGCTTCTACCCTAAGGCTGTTCGACTCATGAATCTCTAACCAGGATAATCACTGTGAAAAACCATATCATGTTGCTGCTGATCTGTTTCATGTTGCTGCTGATCTGTTTCATGTTGCTGTGTTCATTTATACTTATCTGCTCACACAGACTCGTGTTCGTGCTGCTGTTCGGCATACTGTTTTTGTACTACTAGTGTTTAGTAGGCCTGTCACAATAAACAATAAATCAATTAATCAAATGATAAATTATCGACCTCATTTTCATTTATCAGCTTTATTGTTTCTTCGTCTCTCTCTTTCTACTGAAGACACTGGATGACAAAAGGCTCAACTCTGGTGTTCTTCACTGACCCCTCCCTTTCTCTTTAAAATCTATTTTAATTGTCCAAAATCGTGTTTTTGGATTGTTAAAAGCAGCTAAGCTGAGAAGCTAAGCTACGAGCTAAGCTAACAGGCCGACCTCGGGGAAAAAACCTCCGTCTTGTCGAAGCTCCAAAATTCACAGTTGAAACCTGTGCCTTCGTGTAAAAAGTTGTTTTTCTCTGCAAAAAGAAGTTGAGAACTTGTTTACTGATTTTTTTTATTAAAAATTTTGTGTGACAAATGCTATGCTAAAGAGCTCAAAACATACCGAGTATCCGCCATTTTGAGAACTGAAAAAAAAAAGGAAGGAGGGACAACCCATGTCACGTCAAGGAGGCTCCCTTTCATTTTTCTTAAAGAGACAAGCTGCTCGCTCCCTCACTATCCATCCTTCGATTCAGTCTTATCCTGCCATCCGGTGGTCAAAACAAGGTACTACACATAAAACAAATTAACCAACATTTTTTTCTTAAATTTGACAATAATTACTAATTATAGTCAAATTTCAAACATATTATCGTTTATCGCAATAATTTCAGAGACAATTAATCGCCCAGCAAAATTTGTTATTGTGACAGGCCTAGTGCTTAGTGTATTTTTATTACCGTTTTCTTAGTTCATACCTTAGATCTTATTACTGTTTTTCTTTTACATTTTATAATGTTGGATGTAACCGTGTACACAATTTCGTTCCACCACATGTACCACATGTGTTGTGTATGACAAGTAAAGAACCTTGAATGCATGAGTTGTGCACAAAAAAATTTATCATGATTTTAAAAATTTGGCTGCGCAAAACAAGGCAACATGGTTTGCAGGTGTCTTTGGTAATTTATGGCAATTTGGTAAATATCTTTGAATAAACTGAACCTCTCCCCAGATATCAGAACTGACATACCCAGTCGGTGTCAGTCAGTTCTTCTGATCATTGACAGCACTGTTTCTAGTAGAAATCTAAAAAAGACATCCGGCTCTGTTCGCCTGGCTGCAGAGCTTGCAGTCTGTCAACACTTTCGCTGCATCTCCAAGGTTTCAAATGTGCAAATCGGTGCCAAACTGGCTCAAAACAACAGGCGGAGGAACCGGACCGATCCTCCTGCCTGCTCATTTTTGTGGGTTTGAGAGCAGAAGAGTAAGGGCTTTGACAAACATTCATTGTAAGTGCAATGTCTGGTTTTTCTTTCATTGTAATAATCTTCACAAGTAACATCTGTCAAACTATTTAGAACGTGTCTTTTGTTGTGTAACTGGAAACAGCTTGGTGCTTTGATTGTATTCTGAAGAAAAACACATTTTTCTTCCAGATCAGAGTTTAAAAAAAAGAAAAGAAAAACTAATTATTTAGCACTTTCACTTTTAAGTCTGAAAAATCAGTTGAATAATGTCCTTTTCATTCTTTGAATAAAGTAAACACAACCCACAAGCACCGCCTGTCTGCAGCAGAATCAACTGGATATTGTTTAGCTTTTCACTTGTGAAAAAAAAAAATCTAAACTTCAAAGTAAATGTAAAATGTCTCTAGGCCATAAAATCACTCCTCGTTAGGAGCAAATTTTCTAGTTTTAAATTTGCATTTCTGCAAAAAGCACGAGCAGGAAACAAAAGGCCTGAGTAGTAAAGGCTGTAAAGTTCACAGCTGAACAGAAAGGTTTATCTAAACTGGTAATTAACTCTAATGGAGTTTGACTTGGGGGAGAAAAAAAAAAATTCTGATTTAAACTTCCTGCGGGTGTTCGGTAAAAATCTACAAATGACAAACAGGTTTATATTACTTATGTGGATAAATAAATAACTAAAAAGGATAAATAAACTCTAAAAGTAGCAAAAACATATTTGTTGGACAGAGGCAGCACCTATTATTATCCACCTAACAAAGGGTTTCTTAACTTTATATCTTGCTCTTCCGTCAACTTTAATGCAACCGCAACGTGTACAAATGTTATATCGAAACGATCGTCTCAGCACCGTGATGTGCGTTATTACTTTTATAGGCGTTTCGAGTTACCATGGTGATGTAATTTGCTAACAAAGAAGCCATTTTCCTCATTTAAGATGCCTGACGGAACTCAACAACTTCTGCTATAACGGAATCGTTCTTTGAGATATTGAGCTGAAATTTGCTCTGGTCGTAGCTAAGAGAGAGTTTTCATACATTCTTAATACAAATCAAAAAATCCAGGACGGCCGCCTGAGCTAAAAATAGGAAAAATACTATAAATCTATCGAGATCCTCCGTTTTTAGACCCATTGGCAGGCAGGAAAGTGAAGAAGTTTAAAATAAAAATAATTTATTTAAACCACAAAACAAAAGGCTGACGAGGCAGCGACGCGTGGCGCGAACAGGAACAGGGCAGACAGGTAACCAGGCGAGACTGAACGCATCATCGGACAAGGATCGGACAAGATCCCTCTCAGTCTTCAAATCCCGTTTAAAAACTCACTACTATTCAGTAGCTTTCAACACCAGAGGATCTGTGTTTTGAACCAGTACGCTCCACACTGGTTTGTCGTCATATTTATTATCTGCATCGTTTTTATGTTTATATTTTTGATTTACTTCATTTTGTATATTGCTTCGTGTGTTGCCTGTTTTTATGTCTGTACAGCACTTTGGTTGGCCTTGTAGCTGTTTTAAGTGCTCTATAAATAAAATGGTATGGTAAGACAGAGGAGGACCAAGACGTCTGCGTGATAACAGAACAATGAGCGGATGTTTTGGTAGTGATGGAGAGGTTTAAAGAAGAAGAAGAGGAGTTAGTGCACCTGGGAAGGTCGCTGATTGGAAACAGGTGTGAATGGTTAGTGGCTGGAGAGGCAGGCTGAAAAGTGAGGGGGGAAACGACAGGAAGCACATAAGGATCAGACTGACAAAAATCGAGAAACAGAAAAGGAAAACAAAGACATAGAAATACAAAGAACGCAAACAGATTATGTCAAAATCAGCTGATTTCAGAGATATTGAGCTACAATTGTGGTGACAGCTGGGAAAGCTCCCCATCCAAATCAAAAATCCAAGATGGCCACCAAGGCAAGATTTAAACGGCAATTTTCACACACAAGAGTTCTAATTTGATGAGGTTATAGCTGAAAATGTTCCCCATCACAATCCAAATCAAAAATCCAAGCCGGCCAGCACAGCTAACAAAAAACAAAACTATACCTCATTCTTGAGCATGTGATCAGCTGGTTTTGGTTGTCAGCAGCAAACTGGTTGATCCACTCTGTGAAGGTGCTATTTAAGAGACTGAGCTGAAAACAGCACCTCAGACTGAGGAAGTCTCTTGGATGAGAGACGAAACGTTTCTAGATTTTTTTGCTTTGTTTTTTTTTTTGTTTTTTTTTTTTGAATGTCCAGAGGACCAGATTGAACTTTTTTGGATTTTTCTACCTGGATTATTGAGCATGCATCAGGATATAACTCACTGGGTTTTTTTGTACTTAATTGAGCTGATAATTGGTATGGTGCACCCCAACACACAGTTCTGTCAACGCACATTTTTAGGCAGCAGTCAAAAATTATCTTTCTAGTTTTTATTTATTTATTATGCATGGCTGCTGTCACTGGCTAAAAAACAAACAAAAAAACTACTCATTTCTACATTTGAGGCATTAAAAGCTGCTTTAATGTGTGCACTCACAGCACGCTGACGGATGGAGGCATGTCGCCCGCCGCTGGGGCCCTCTCCAGCCCCATGTTGGAGCAGTTGACGACGCACGGCTGCTGCGGCCCCGCGGGCGCGCAGCTGCAGTTAACGGGACAGGGGCCGCAGCTGCGGCCGCCGGGCCCGTGCGCCCCGGAGCCCCACGCCTCCAGGCAGCAGAGCGCCACAAGCAGACCGGGGAAGACGCAGACGCCATGATGTTTTCGCTTGGATAAAGTCTGTCCATTTCCACCAGGCATAGCTCACTCACATGTCATCGCCTCTGGTGGTGGAAGTCCTCTCAGGGTGCGAAGAAACAAAACGCGCAAAACCCCAAACTCCAGGATTCTTCTCATGTGCGGAGAGATTTAGAAGAAGTTCTAAAGGATGAACTTTTGACTCCGCGAGCTGCTTCTGCTCTTCGCCTATAAGATCTTCTTGTTTTAAAAACCCACCTCCTCTGAAAATCTAACGGAACGTCTCCAGAGTCTTTTCAGAGGAAAAAAAAAAAAAAAGTTTGGGAGAACTTCCTCTCTCCTCCTCCTCCTCCCAAAACTTCATGCAGTTCCCTAAAACCACCGCTAAGACCAGAGATGTTGAAATGTTCAGAAGTTTGTCACAGTAAAAAAAAAAAAACAACAACCAGGAAGTTATTTAAAAGGATAAATGTCTGGAAAAATAATCTGTTCATCTAACTATTGCATGTAATTTTAGCCATTCATACATTAAGGTTCAGATTATTTAACTGATATCTGCTAGGACTTTTGGTTTTTGTCATTTTCATCCATCATCTTTTACCAGCTTCTTCCTTTTAGAGTCGCACGGGTCACTGGTGTCATGCGGTGCAGGTAAGACACTGACTGTCTGGAATCAGATGCTCACATATATGAACCCAAACTAGGAGCTTATATTTCAACATAAATTGTTTTAAAATAATTAGAAAATGTCACTTCATTGACATGAAATGTCTTTCATGTCTTATGGAGCTGCACAGACTCACCAAACTACACTTAAACCTTTGGAAAGTCTCTACAATCAGTTCTTGAAGGTTTTAGACAGTCAGATTTCATCACTGTAATATTTTAGCTATGTTTGATATTCTGGAATTTTCCAATTTTACAAATTACCTTTTTTTTTTAATTGATCTTTAAATGCTTAAATGGGCTTGCACCCATACTATGAAGCAATAACTGCAGGGCTACGGCAGATCTACCAGAGCGGCTTGAAATGGCGACTGTAAGGTTCCTTTGTCGTAGAACCACTTTTGCTCAAAATGTTCTCTCTGTGAGAGGATCCACAGTTTGAAACTCACTCCCTGTCAATTTAAAGTCTGTAAGTTTAAAAAAACAAACTCAACTCCGGCTGTGTCAAAAACAGCATTGCATTCATGCTTAATGTGTTGTATTGTGTTTTAATCCATTTGTTTGATGTGTATGACTCATCTAGTTTAGAAAAATCATTTAGTTTTGTGATATGATCTTCCATTTTGTCTAAACAAATTTAAATGAGTGTACTGTTTGCTTGACCCTTGCTGCACCTTTGTGCAACAGAAGAACGCACCTGCTTCATTGTCCCTATGAGACAGCACTGCCCCCTATCGGTACGGCCAGGTATATTCTGCCGCACCTCTCGTGTTTTTCAGCGTGCATTATGACCTATTAGAAAGCAGAAATATGTCACACACATTCATTCAATATATTAGACAGTCTGTAGAACAAAAACATGTGTAGCACATGTGTAATCAAACATGTATTTTGGTGATATAAAGAGAGACAGCAATGCACCAACCGCCTACTTAATATATTGTATGACACAGAGGTGAACCACAGTACTACACCACCTCATCCCGCATTGTTTGAACAGGCAATGAGTAAATTTCACGATTTTGACCATTGAAGTGCTAAAATAATTCAGAAAACAGTTTTATAGAACAGTCAAGTGGTCAAGTGTATTTTTTCTTATCATTGTCAGTATTTTGCTTGTCATGATCCTCACCTGCCTCCCCTGACTGCACATCACTGGTGCTCATGTCCAGCTATCACTGTGCGAGAGGCAGGGGACACCCTGGACAGGTCTCCAGTCTATCACAGGGACACAAACAAACAACCATTGGATGACACGATTGAACTTTTTTTGTCATCTATCTGGAGCCTACAAACCGTGTTTCTCTCACTCACACTTAGGGACAATTTAGAGTTACCAGTCAGGCTAACATGCATGCTTCTGGTCTGGGAGGAAACCGGAGTACCCAGAGAACGAGGTCAAGATGACCTCTGCTTCACAGCTCACAGTTGTTGAAGGCGTCAGAAGTTTATCAGTTATCAGTCTCCTCTCTGAGTAGACAGAAAGACTCTCTTGACTTCACATACATCCATCATCTTCCACTTGTTCCGAATTCGGGTCATGGGGGCAGCAGTTTGAGCAGGGAGGCCCATCTCTTTCCACAGCCACCTCTTCCAGCTCTTCTGGGAGGACTCCAAGGTGTTCCCAGGTCAACCAAGAGATGTAGTCTCTCCAGCGTGTCTTGGGTCTTCCCCAGGGTCTCCTCCCAGTCTGACATGCCTGGGAGCATCCTTACCAAATGCCCGAACCACCTCAACTGGCTCCTCTCGATGTGGAGGAGCAGCGGTTCTACTCAGAGTCTCTCCCTGGATAACTGAACTTCTCACCCTATCTCTAAGGGAGAGTCCAGCTACCCTGCAGAGGAAACTCATTTCAACTGCCTGCCCATGATCTCATTCTTTCGGTCACTACTCAGAGCTCATGACCATAGGTGAGGGTAGGAACATAGACCGACTGGTAAACGGAGAGCTTAGCCTTACAGTTTAACTCCCTCTTCACCACAAGGGACCGGTACAGGATCTGCAATACTGCAGATGCTGCACCAATCCATCTGTCAATCTCACGCTCCATTCTTCCCTCACTTGTGAACAAAATTCCAAGATACTTGAACTCCTCCACTTGATGCAGAACCTCACCCTCAACCTGGAGAGAGCAATCCACACTTTTCCAGTTGAGGACCATGGCCTCAGAATCTGAGGTGCAGATTCTCATCCCAGCCGCTTCACACTCGGCTGCAAACCATTCCAGTGAGAGGTGGAGATCACGGCACGATGACGCCAAAAAGACCACATCATCTGCAAAGAGCAGAGACAGAATCCTGAGACCACCGAACCAGAATCCCTCCGCCCCCTCGCTGCACCAAGAAATTCTATCCATAAAATTTATGCACAGAATCAGTAATAACAGGCAGCCCTGGAACTTCACATACATGGTTCTATATTAGTCTAGCATTAGTGATAACATCCATGACCTTTACATAACTTCCCCCATCATATTGCTTTTCTGGGTGTAAACTGGGACCGTGAGAAAACAATTGTGTTCCACCTCATGTACCACATGTGATACAAATGACAATAAAGAAACTATTGAACTTTGTTTTCTAAACTGATGTCATTCTTAAAGCCATCTATAACAGGTAAGATAATATCTGTTCATAAACTTTCATCCACTTCCAAAGATCTGATGTTGCTTTAAATCTCCTTTTTACTGATTTCTGCAGGGATCACATCTCCTGGTGTGAGCACATGCGTGCTTTATTTCGTTTTTCCTCCAGGGAAGGGGTTTTGAACTGATGCACCAAATCAGCTTTTTTCACCTCTGCAGCTCCAGCTAGAACATCTTTCCTGCTTCTTCTCAGTGTTGCTCAGTTCTGTCAGTGCTGTTTGACAAATGATTCATCTTTTGTGAGTAAGGTTCAAGGACAGGTCTTTTCCAAGCTAATCATAGAAGACACCTTGGTTATTGTTGAGAAGGTGGCTTTGACAGAACAGTTATTGATGCCCAGAAAAAGTTGGTTTCACCTTCCTGCACCCAGAGAGGAGAATAAACCACAGAGCTGCTTGGGAGCCAAGCGTTCCTGCCCTCTGCCTTCTCTGGTTCTCCCAGCAGTTTCCTGAAGCTGTGCACGGCGCGTGTTTGAGGCGTTTCCTGGATATTTGACTTGGCAGAGTCCCTTCAGTGCTCCCTGCAGGCATCTGGTGCACAAAGAAAAGAAGAGCATCCTCTGTGGCTCCAGTTCTCTGTGAGGAGCTCAGATTTTAGAATCAAAACAAACAGGAGCGGAAGAAGGAATGTACAAAATGTTTCAGCCCGATGAAAAATCTGAAGGACTTTTTTTCTAGTTGTAAAAGGACACAATAACATTTTAAACTGTGGAACATGAGCTTTCAATCTTTTCATGTTGCATCACGATATGACTAATAGAAAAACCACTGTCTGTCTAGAGCAGGGTTATTCAACTGGCGGTCCAGGGGACAAATCAGGTGAACTCAGTTCGGCCCATCAATGGGTTCAGTTTTACACAAAACCAGATTTTAAACCATAAAACCAATGCTGGATGTCCGGCCCCTGAGATCCTGGTTTTCAGTAACTGTGGCCCTCTGAGCAGTTTAGTTGAATAACCCTGGTCTAGATGTTGTATTTTTATTCCAAATTGTAACATTTTGATTCAGTATTTTAGCCTAAAAATGTCCTTTCACAATGACTCAAACAATATAGGAAGAGAATTTTTTTTTTTTTTAATTACATGAATAACACATTATTATTTCTAAAATCATGGCTATTAGAAAACCTCAGTTTAAAGATAAGATTTGGACGATTAAATGCAATTTAGTTACCATGATTGCTAGATGGAGTCAAAATGGACTCGTTTTTTCTAATCTCATTTACAATGACGATAATTTCCCTTATTTTGCACCGCAGCCTGTGCTCGTTCTGACTCAGCACAGATTATTTTTATGTTAGAAGGATGAGAGCGAAGAGGACCAAGGACCTAAACAAGAAAACAGAACAAAGGAAAAAAAACACTATTTGAATTAATAATGCTGACAGATAAAAAAAAAAAACTAAACAGCCAAAAGAAAGAGCCAATCAGCAGAAACAAGCATCAACACAGGGAGCAATGAAGCAAGAAACAAGCTGCATGACACAACACTATATGAACCAGGAGCATGAGGGACGGGAGTGAGTGCGGGTGAGGCTAGTTAGCAGATGAACAGGTGTGCAGGATTAACTGAAGGAGGACTGAGGGAAATGATTTCAGCATGTAACATTGGCCATCAAGGAAACATTTATATATACCTGGAAATAGTTTTATCCTGGATGCTCTTCCTGACAAAAACTGGGCTCAAACCTGCAACTTCAGGATTACGAGACCGCAGCCCTAAAGATCATGATACGTGTTTAACACATAAAAACC